TATATATATATATATATATATATATATATATATATATATATATGATTATATACACCATGGATTTTATTTGAGAGTGACATGGAACTCAGTCAGACTTAGTATACAACATTTATCATTCTTAAGGCTTTCCCCTCATGGTTTGTTTCAAAAAGACCCTATGTGCCCATCAATTCCCAGAAACCTGGTTCTTTAGAAAACTCTTGAAGATTCTGCACCAATGTGGAGTCAGTCAGCTCTCCAGGAGTCAAGTGGGCACCATGTGGTGAGGATGGAGAGTCAGGTAAATGCTTGTCTTATGTTTGGGTAACATAGAAAATGTCTTTTTTTATCTAGCACATGGGACCCTAACAGACTTCCACCATTCTGACCTATCAATCATTCAGGAGAGAGAATTGAGAGGTAAGAAGAGTCAGGATAAGGATGAGACAGCTTCTTAGGCTGCAAACCCTTTATTAATAGGGGGTTACAGGACTTGATAGCTAATCAAAATAACTAGTCTTGAGGCTTGGCAAATAAGCTCTTTTCACTGAAGGTTGAATGGAAATGTAAGAAACTCTTCTTGGGCTACGTCTGAATATTGTTAAATCAACACTTGTCTTGGTGAAATGGCCACCCCAGGCTAAGGCCTCAGAAGATGCAATGTTAAGGCTCTGTGGGCTTAAGGGAAGAGAGTGGGGGCACTTAATGTGGTCTACTCCACAGTCAAGAGTCTTGAGTTAATTTCTTAGGTCAAACTACCTGTGCATATCCCATGAGAGAGGAATGATCTGGGAACAGTCAGAAAATGTGTTGAGGCAGGAATGTAGCCTCATAAAGCATGCTTGCCACATCCATTCCTATCTCTAATCCAACTCACTTTAGTATCAGTATTCTATATGACATAAGAGCCATGTACACACTCTTAGGCTTTATAATTGAGATAGAGTTGTACATAGTGAAAGAGATATTTTTTTAATAGAATTGATAATAACAGAAAAATATTAAATGAACAGATAAAAGTCTTAGTTTTGGAACTACTTTATAAAAGAACAGAGAGTGAGCTCCTTATTGTATTTTAAAATTATCTTGGCATTTATGCCAGCTCTAAGGGAAAAACCTCAGTGGCTGATCATGTTAGGACAACTGCAAACCTTAAGAGAATGGGTGTTGTATTGGTGGATTTAGTCACCATGACCCCTCCTCACCCAGGGCAGGGTTTCTCTGTGTAGCTCCGGATGTCTTGAAACTCTCTCTGTAGACCAGGCTGGCTTCGAACTCAGAGGTCCACTTGTCTCTGGCTCCCGATTGCTGAGATGTGCCACTATTACCCAGTTTTAGTTATTTTTAATTTTAGTCTCTGTTGTACGTACTCACTTATGTATGTTCTTAGAGAGATCTGGAGTTAAAAGGTTAAGCAGAGAAACTCAGGCTTGTTTTAAAATTTGTTGATTTTTTTTTTAAAACGAAGTACCTTATGTTTGTCTTCCATTTAAATTCTAAAACACCAGTGATCAAACTGAGGCATGGAAAGTTTATATGACTGGATCAAGGCAAAAACAGGTAGTAAGTGACACAATGATGTTTTTAGTTGTGGGGGTTGGACTCAACTAGCAATATAATTAGTTCCTTTGCTTTCCTGATTCATGGTGATGTAGGGCCAACACCACATCTGCAGCAGGGCAAAAGAAGTACATAGAGCTTTGTTTTATATTCTAAGAAAAACTCTGTTTTCCCCAGAAGATTAACCAACATCTGACAGTGATACCACTTGAACAAGAATCACCCACTAGAAAATACAAGGAAGACCTAGGTAGAGCATTAGGACTACCAGGTCATATCTTTTCTAGGTCATCCCGAGAGATTCTATGAGAAACAGAAAGGTTTCTAACTTCACCTCTTCCTGCAGTGTGAGAGGAGAGAGGGCACAGACTTCCTAAAGGAGGACAAGCAACAGGTTATTCTGAAGGAGTACTCTGTTAACACAGAGAACCTTGACAAGGATGGTAAACAGAGCAAATGGCTTCATTTATGTTTTCTGATTTGTAAAACACTGCCCTGACACTTTGATTTGTCTACACCAGACACATCCGATGGCATTCTACCCTCTTCCCTCACCACTCTATATTGTAATAGAAAACCCATCTCACCTATGATGTCAAGACCATCCTACAACTACACAGTGGAATCCCCTGCCACCTTCTTCCTCATGGGCATTCCAGGTTTGCAGTCTTCCTATCTTGGGCTGGCCGTCTCATTTAGTGCCATGTACAGCATAGCCCTCTTGGGAAACAGCCTCATCATTACTGTGATCTGCATGGATTCCACTCTACAAGAGCCCATGTACTTCTTTCTCTGTGTTCTGGCTGCTGTGGACATTGTCATGGCTTCTTCTGTGGTACCTAAGATGGTGAGCATCTTCAGCTCAGGAGACAGCTCCATCAGCTTTAATGCCTGTTTCGCTCAGATGTACTTTGTCCATGCAGCCACCGCTGTGGAGACAGGGCTGCTCCTGGCCATGGCTTTTGATCGCTATGTGGCCATCTGCAAGCCCCTACACTACAGAAGAATCCTCAGACCTAAACTGATGCTGGGGTTATGTGTGACCATCATCAGCAGAGCTGTCCTTTCCATGACTCCACTGAGCTGGATGTTGAGTCATTTGCCTTTCTGTGGCTCCAATGTAGTTCCCCATTCCTACTGTGAACACATGGCTGTGGCCAAGTTAGTATGTGCAGACCCCACGCCCACCAGTTTGTACAGCTTGATTTGTTCCTCTATCATTGTGGGGTCCGATACGGCCTTCATTGCTGCCTCCTATACTTTGATTCTCAGGGCAGTATTTAGCCTGTCCTCAAAGAACGCACAGCGGAAGGCGTTAAGCACATGCGGCTCTCATGTGGGAGTGATGTGTCTTTTCTATCTCCCCGGGATGGCATCCATATATATAACCTGGTTGTGGCAGGATGTAGTTCCCCTGCACACCCAAGTGTTGTTAGCTGACTTGTACCTCATCGTCCCACCCACCCTAAACCCTGTCATTTATGGTATTAGGACCAAGCAGATCCGGGAGCGAATGCGGATGTTGATGATGTGCAGCTTTAGAAAAGGTTTGTTAACATAGAACTCTTTACATTTAGTCCCCTAGACAAGGGCACAGGTTTTAAAGATGTATGGAGCAAGACTGTTTCACTTGTCAGTGCAGAGTCCAAGATGAAGTTGTAAAGACCATGTGTGGTGGTAATCTAATTGTACTGAATTATTATTTTGATTGTATGTTAATAAATAAAGTTGTCTGGGGGTCAGAGCTATTAGAGCCA